AATTTTTAATGATGTGGATTTTAAAGTATATTTTAATATATTTCTATATTGTTTATTTTATCGATGTTTTTATATTTTAATGTGAAACTGGGTGAGTGGGAAACACTGACTTAGTTACAGCGATTAGGTTTGCTTTAGTGTTTGCTTCCAGCTCACCCAGTTGGATGGTTTTTTTTTTGTACTGTCGTTGTTCTGGAAATAAAAGAAAAATAAGAATAAGAGAGAAAGATTGATCTGGCGTCGACATCCTGAGGCATTTGTGGACCGACAGAATAGCTGATGATGAAGCCTCTGAAGGTTATCAACGAAATTAACTTACCACACATCCTGGTCATGATCAGTGAACAAAAATAATCTTATTAAAATATAGAAATAAATAATAAAATTAATTAATCCGAATTAATTCCGAAATATTAAAATGAAAATCCAAATGGAAGAATTGAATAAGGTAAAGATGCTGCGGCGTTTTTTATAGGAAATATTTCTTGTTATTAATTGTACACAAGCCAGATGTGTACAACAGGACATTGGACCAACTATAGCTTTATATAAGAGAATATCGTATGTATTATACAGTCTATAAGACATTGTTGATGAGAGATTATGAGGAAGAAAAATTTAGAATTCATTTAATAATTTTGAGCGCTTTATCAAAATACAGATTAAATTTTCAGAAAGAAACGATTGAGATCATATTAACTGCCAAGAACTTGGGCCTTGTCTATACATGTATTCATACTGGATCCTGATTTTTGTGCATGATTACGCTGATCATTGTCACCACTTAACGCATGACTTTACGATCGCCCACACAAAATTTATTAATATGCATGACTTAAAGTTGTATAGGATAAATTAGTATGTATAAACAATTTTAAGGTTTGTCAATAGTAGCGTTATCATCAGATTATCAAACTGTGTGTCAAACGGACAGTCCACAAATGTCGTTGCTTTGAGCACCAAGTATTTAAAATTCATTCAGTAACAGGTTGGAACAAGGTAAGCATTCATACATTTTTTCAAAAATATTATATAGGTAAGGACAATAAAAACGAAAGACTTTATTAATTGACTGATTGTCCAATTACATTGACTTATTTTCTATTAACAGTCTTAGCTCTAGACTACATAATATCATTATGTTGTCGGCCTAGCCACAGTCATACACATCAGCGCTGGTTTGCGACACTCCAAATCGTTTTCGGATAAGGATTGAAAATGGAGGTCCAGTGTTACACATTTGGCTCGTGTGCACTTTATACATAAAGGTCCTATAGCTATAGCTAAGTACGAAGGAAACCTAATTTGAATATTATTTACTATGATTTCAAAACTGCGACCTATATCGTTTCACTTAGTTGTATGAGAGGAAGTGTCTGGATAGATCTGTACGTATATCCCATAGGTCCCCGTAATCTAATCTTCGAGCATGCTGTTTTCTACCTATATGTTTATATTGTGTTTGCGGTGCTACGCAGCTAATTTGAATATATATAAATCATAAACGATGTCAACTCTAAACCGTCTTGCGGTAATGTTATAATGATATGTACATTTTAAGCGTTAAAGAAGAGGAATCGTCGAGTGTGTAAAAAAGCTGCCCTAACCCGGAACCTTCTATTGTCTATGCAGACGCCTTATCAACTGTGTCATTGGGGATTCATATATATATATATATATATATATATATATATAATTAAAGAAAGGTAAATACTGTGTTCGAATAAAGGACATGATGGTGCATCGTGTAGCATAGCTCTAAACGAATGTTGGCCTGTAAATAAATACATTGTGTAATAAAAAATCATCGGACGGGATTCGAACCTCTCGCTGCCAAAGTGAGCGTCATAACCATTAGACCACATAAGCTTCATGGTTGAACAGATTCAAATAACTGTCAGCTACATTACACAATGATGGTGCACCTCGATAGGGCGTTTAAGTACGACTGGAATAAATACTAACATATAATAATAATCAAGATAGCCGTTTTAACACTGTTAAATTATATATATCTTGATTATTGTTATTATTATTATTATTATTATATCTATATATATACATATTGAAGAGTGGGTTTGCATGTATGCTCCAAGTAAAATAAAATGCAAAAGCAATGAAAAAACGGTGTACAATCATTGAAAGTTGACTTGCGGAACACAAATTTATTAAGCTATAACCAAAATCAAACGGATATTTCGATAGCTCCTGCTATCTTCATCAACGTTAAAGTGAGAAAACTTGGGAGATCTTACATATACATAAAGAATAATAAACCAATCAGAATCAAGTTATCAATACAATTAGTTGATTGAACCTCAAAATATAAGTTCAGTGACAAGTTAATGGGCAAATTAATTACTGTACAATTAAGCAATGATAAGATGTCGGCAAAATGATTATGTAAGTGATAGTTTATTGGCGGTGCCATTGAACCAGCTTAATGCTAAGACTTATTTAACTACAGTAAACAATAACAGGAAATAAAACATAGTAAAATTAATAGGGTCCTATATAATTAAAACAATTGTGGAATAGAAAATAAATAGCAGGGTCATTCCGTGCCAACTCAACAAATTTTCAGAAAATCATGGCTGGGTACCGTCTCAGATTTTCTTGAAACTCGGACACAATGTGCACCAACTTGTCTGACGAACAAACCCAAAATTTGACTTGCCAATTCCAAGTCGTCTAGAAGTTACGGCCATTTGAAATTGTTGGGTCATACCCCTTTCTAGCTCTCAGCTATGACATAGTTGCACTTTCAATTAGCCATATCCTCAAAGAGAACAAAGACAATTAACTGAAAATTGATATCTAGACCAACCCTTGGCTGTAGAACAGGAACATGACATGACTTTTGGTATACCGGACCCCGTTACTAAAATATTGGTTCGCAAAGACCCCGACTTATTTGGTTGCGTAGCCTTTCTTCCATTTTTAGATCCCACCAAAATACCCAAATCAGTTACTAAATGGGTCCCATGCAACAAATTATCAACATATAGCTGGAAACGTTTCACCACGAAAAATTCAGGATTTTTAACTTATCATTTTAGGGGGCAATCGCAGGTCAAAAGGTCATTCGGGACAAAAAATGCACAAAAATGCCTCGTCCCCATGGTGACCCCTGACCCTGTGGGCAAGCACGCCTGTTGCTAAAACTTGCACCACTAACCAACTTAGACATGATGATCAGATGTCCCAAACATCAGCTTGGCGTCTCCATCCCTTCACCTTTAAAAAGCGACCCGAAAAGGGGTACATTTTTTCAATTTGTGACAGCATCAGTGCGCAAATGTGACAAAATCAACTTTTGAACATCGACAATATCAAAAACAATCTGCCCAGACCCTTGAAACCCACAATTCCAAAACAACTTCATGTGCCCATTTCGGGCATGCAGTTCGTTTAGGCGTTTTGTGTTTCATTAGTAAGATATGTCCCCCCAAAAATGGCCCAAGTGCAAGAATTGCGCAATAAAATTGTATTACTGTCGATTTCAAATGAGCATAATATTATCCGTGCACCGTCCAGTGCTGTGAAACCCTTCATTCTAGGACAACTCCTTGTGTTGATTTCAGTATATGCAGTCCGTTAAAGGGATAAATTGTTTAATTAGTAAGAAAATTTTCTGAAAATTTGTTGAGTTGGCACGGAATGACCCTGCTATTTATTTTCTATTCCACAATTGTTTTAATTATATAGGACCTTATTAATCTTACTATGTTTTATTTCCTGTTATTGTTTACTGTATTTAAATAAGTCTTAGCATTAAGCTGGTTCAATGGCACCGCCAATAAACTATCGCTTACATAATCATTTTGCCGACATCTTATAATGGTTTAATTGTACAGTAATTAATTCGCCCATTAACTTGTCACTGAACTTATATTTTGTGGACCAATCAACTAATTGTATTGATAACTTGATTCTGATTGGTTTATTATACTTTATGTATATGTAAGATCTCCCAAGTTTTCTCACTTTAACGTTGATGAAGATAGCAGGAGCTATCGAAATATCCGTTTGATTTTGTTATAGCTTAATAAATTTGTGTTCCGCAAGTCAACTTTCATTCAGGGCTTCCTAAACTGTCGCGACTCAAATTCAGGCCAGTAAGTTGCGAAAAAGTACCAAATAAAATTAGGTTATTGTTACTAAGTTCTATGAAAAAAAGAATTAAGATCGTTAATAAATAAAAGCTACTTGATAAGTGATGTTAAGATGTGTATAAGAGACAGGTGTGTGTGTGTGTGTGTGTGTGTATTGGTCTATAATTAAATTAGAATAGAGTGGCGATTTAATCTTCTATATTTCACTACAAAATAAAATTTTTAGGTCTATCAAAAAGCCCGGAATTATATCGTCGAATATGAGAAAATTTTTAATAAGCCTGGTATTACTGCTCACGATCGTCGCTACGTATTCCCAGGATATACGCACTACAATCGTAGATGAATACGGAGACTCGTTTAAAGGACGAATTAACTTAGACATCGAACAGAGGATACGGTCTAGCTGGAAAATGTACGTCTTGTTCGATGATCCTGTTTTTAACTTACAGGTATTTATACTTGCTGTATTGTATATAGAATATTAAAATGACTCACGAATCCATTTTTATCAAGGCCGAATGCAATAGAAAAGGCTTTTCTCCTTTCTTTTCTTCTCTCTTTATTTTCGCCGACAGCCAATTTGCCGAAATTGTTAGTGAACATGTTAATGGATGGATGTGTCACATTTAGATGTTGTATTTTTATTCGGTTATTTAATGTCCAAAAGCTTTCTAGTACAGAATAATGTGCACAGCCAACAGATCAAATGTTAAAGTATGTTTTGAGCTTAGAATTTGAAACTTCCATAATTTGATAGAGCTAAAAGGTCATGATAAGAAGAATTAGAAAGCCACTGTTCAAATCATCGTGAAAGAATTATTCTGTTCTGGTAGAGTATGACTATTATTTATAATAGGCCTAATGGAAGGGCCGTACTGATCCGCGGCGGATGCAGAGGTTGCAACGGTGCGATCGCACCCACCCCCCACTCCTAAATTGTTTTAAGAAACATTTTTCTATTGTACTGTTGATATGAACATAGTACCTGTACAATTTTTATGGTATGAAAGTGCAATTTCCGGGCACCTAGAGGTCCATATTCTCAAAATGTTCGCACCTCAGCCCCATCCATGGTGGGCCTGAGTTCGTGACTCTCACGCACCCACTACCGTAAAATCCAGCATCCGCCCCAGCTGACACAGTTCTACTGTTAAAGGAATGTTTAACTATTACTTGTACGTACGTTAATATTTATGTAATCCCATGGTGACAAATATAGTAATAATAAAGCATGAATGGTTGGTTGATATATTTAGTACAAGTAGCCTATGAATGAGTGATATAATAGTGCGTGTTTTGAGCTACAAACACAAAACTGTGATAAACAGAAGTGATGTTAATGCAATGATGATTATTTATATTATCTTAGCCTAGAAATTGAGGCAGTGACAAGTGGAAAATTTGTGGTTAAATTATAAATACACTCCGGATATTTTTCTTGAATGTTTTGTATTTGAAGCAATGAAACATGACAATTTTTTTTATAGGAAATTTTGTTTTTTAATTATATGCATGCAAATCTTATTTCCAAAGCAATGTCTTCTCAGAAATGAATCGGGAAATGTTTTGATAATTATTTGTATTGTGATCTATTGTATCTCTTGTAATTATATGTTTGGACTCTCTGAAGCTATCTGACAGGACAGCTTTCGACGGACAGCGGTCTCACTGACAGTGTCCATTTTAATTGAAATATGCTCGTCAACAGCTAAATCTACATGTTATATCTTCTCTGAACAAATTCAACAATAAAATGTAATTCCTCCGACACACTAAATTCACCTACCTAAGAAGTGTTGGCCAAGACGTTTAATTAGTGTGACATGAATGCTTGTGAAGGGTATCGGTGGTATAATATAAATGCACATACACCGATTTGATGTCAGTTCACATTTCAGGGCTTCCTAAACTGTCGCGACTCAAATTCAGGCCAGTAAGTTGCGAAAAAGTACCAAATAAAATTAGGTTATTGTTACTAAGTTCTATGAAAAAAAGAATTAAGATCGTTAATAAATAAAAGCTACTTGATAAGTGATGTTATAGACTGTTACTATTATTGTTCGTCAAATAAATTTGAGAAACCCCGTGTTAAACCAGAAGAAGAAGAAGGAAGAGAAGAGGATGAAGAAGAAGGGGAAGAGGAATGAGGAGAAGGAGAAGGAGAAGAATAACTATTTGATGAATTTAATTGTGTTTGCTTATAGGCATACTTTCTTTATTTAGCTTTAATGATCAATCACTATTAAAAAAAAGTCTTCATCAAAATATTCAAAATCCTACTCTGTCCTCTATTAAGAAATGCTTTTGTCCAGTATCCTATTGCGTATGCCACATGACTAAAGCTCATCCTGCTATATCTCAGAGCCACGATGGGACAAGTGATACTATCTGCTTTGGCACTCCTTCGTAGTATTGAGCACGATGAAGCAGACAACATTGCCAACTTTGATCATGTTATTAAAATATTTGCAGATGTTAAAGCACGCAAAATTTAGTTGTGAGGTTTAAACAATGTTATAAATTCAGCAACTTACAAGACAATAAGATTAATAAGCTCTATGCGATAAGTACAACAGCCTCACAAATTAGGATAATGTTAAAGTTGTATACAAATTTCCGAACATCGTAATGCAGTTTCAATAATAAGAAACAGGGAAGGTGCGATCAGGGGGTGGGAAGGCCCCCTTCGGGGATAGCTAGCTCCCCTCCCCTCAATTATAATTATAATTAGAGGGAAGGGGGAGCAATTTTCTACACTTGCCCCCGGGTGCCAAGACCTCTAGCTACGCCACTGTTTTTGTCAGTATACATGTCGCTTTATTTTTGTTTTATTTTACATAATAAATGCTTTTTAACTACAAACTCCTAGACAATTCATTGCCTAAATCAGAACATAGCCCCCCCCCCCCCGCAAAGAATAACGTTTCAGACAGTATTTATGTGACGTATACCGGTATATATTTTTTCGTGCACCGTCCATATTTTAATATGACTTATTGTATAGTTATTGTATATTACAAAATTGTAAAATTTTTATACATAATTATTATTTATTAATGAATAGGCCTATTTATTTTCTTAATTGCATGATCACCTGTTTTTATATACATTTCCTTATTATTTTTTAATTTTTCATTTTCATCTAATACATATATAAACAGATAATGAATTTGGTTGTTATTTTTTATTCAATTTGTATATAGGTAACTTAATTTATTTCTCATTTATTGAATTGTATATACCCATTAATTTACCTATTTGTACCGTGTATTCAAATTTTAATTCAATCTGAGCTACTATTTTTTGGATTAGCTATGTGAATGAAAAAAAGATACTGACCAATATTGTAATGTGTCCGCCACTTGTATATTTCAACTAAAATGTATATTTGTAGTAGGCCTACGTTGTTTTCTGGTGCATTTCAAACATTTGAATATTATTACTTTTAAGTATATTTTACATTTAAATATTTATCTTAATTAATTATTTATTAATCCTTCCTTATTTGCAGTCTCAAAGTCTCACCTTTTATAATAATAATAATAATAATAATAATAATAATAATAATAATAAGAATAATAATAATAATAATAATAATAATAATATCTGGAATTTATAAGGCGCCAATTCCAAAAAATATCAAAGGCGCACTATGCAAGTGTGATACCCTCGGAAAACAAAGTGGTCTTTAATTTGCGATTTAAAGTTGCAGAGATTAGAAGAAGTAGTTATATTAATAGGGAGCTGGTTCCAAAGAAAAGCATAAGCAAAGGAGAATGAGCATTGACCATAGGTTTTGGTATAATAATAATAATAATAATAATAATAATAATAATAATAATAATAATAATAATAGTAATAGTAATAGTAATAGTAATAGTAATAGTAATAGTAATAGTAATAATAATAATAATAATAATAATAATAATAATAATAATAATAATAATAATAATAATAATAATATCTGGAATTTATAAGGCGCCAATTCCAAAAAATATCAAAGGCGCACTATGCAAGTGTGATACCCTCGGAAAACAAAGTGGTCTTAATTTGCGATTTAAAGTTGCAGAGATTAGAAGAAGTAGTTATATTAATAGGGAGCTGGTTCCAAAGAAAAGCATAAGCAAAGGAGAATGAGCATTGACCATAGGTTTTGGTAGAATATTTGAGAAGAGAGAGGAGATTTCGAGAAGATGAACGGAGACGGCGAGATGGAGTAGGCCTATACTTATCTTGCATACTGTTTCCCTTTTATCTCAATTTGTACCGATTTTTAAAAAATGCCCTTTATATTGCTTTAGTTATTACAGTCTTTTAAGATTTTCTATAGTACTAATCTAATAAAAATATAGATGAACATGTGTTTATTATAGGCCTGTATTTAATATTTTTAGCATAATATTGTATTGCGTGATTAATATAATGAAAATGTGTCGGCATGTTTGGATCGCTATAAATAACACTTTCCATGATGACTACCCATTCCTCAACAAAACAAAACATCTGTCGAAAAAACATCAATCACATCACAAAAAAATTGTCGGCGAAATTTCTGTCCGCGAATTGGCTGTCGGCGAATCGTCCAGTCGGCGAATTCGATTTCGGCGAATTCCGGTGCCGGTGAATGTTCTTTCGGTCAACTGTCTGTCGGCCAAACGTCCGTCGCCAAACTGGCATTCGGCGAAATGTCCTAGTACAGATCGATCAAATCCCATTTCCCTGTATTATTAAAGTTTACAATGTACGATGATAATATCAGAAGGTCACCAGTCACCACTCTGTACACCCATAAGAAAAACATATATACACATGGTTGAAAATATTAATAGTCCATTTCCTTTTGAAATCTCCGATAACGTTCATTAGCATAGAATAACATTTATATGCTTGCATTTTTGGATGAATAGATTTGGCGCGCAGCAGTAATCCGTATTTGTAAAGATAACCGAGTGTACGAGATGGCTAACATGTTGTGGAATGGAAACCTCGACGCTGGAAGCGTACTTGAAATGAGTTTCCTAGCTAGAACAGTAACTGGTGCTGGTGTTTTAGGGACCGTCGTTTTTAATGAACATGAAGACTACTGCACTGCACCAATCCCCACTCAACCAGAAGCTCAAGTAGGCACCACAGAGGTTCAATTAGAAACGACTGAAGGTCAAGTGCTTACCACAGTTGCTCAAGTAGATACCACAGTAGATCCCACTGAAGCCCTTGTGAACCCTACAGAGGCTGGAGAGGGAACGGTAACTGTTTGCTCAACTTGTATGTCAGACGTCGTCATAACCAGTAGATGGAGCGGAAATTTCCAAGCGACTATTACAGTGACACTTACAAATACAGTGACTGCATGGAATATGAATATTTATTTCTCGGAACCAGTGGATAGCATAGATGTAAGTTGTGGTAATGTTGTTTTGTTACCGTATTGTTTATAGTATTGTTGAGAAATAATAGTTTAAAGACCACTGAACAACTTACCATAATAAGAATAGAAAAATTTAACATCACAGACAGGCCTGTTAATATTATTAAATAGTTGTGCTCTGGATTCAACTTTAACCCACTTCTTGCCTCTTAGGTATACCAAGCAATCGAGTCATCGATTTCGAACGAAAATATGGTTTACAGTATAAGTAACGAAAATTACAACGGTGATCAATCTGCTGGAGCCATGTTAACATTGGAATTCCAAGCATCATATTCTGGGTCAGAGCCTTCAACAATACGAATCGAAGATATGACGAACCAGCCGGATTGCTGCACAGAGGTCGTAGTGACGCTACCGATTCCAACGGCTGCACCAGGAGAAGGTTGTGCAACTTGTTGTTCAACAACTGCAGTGACGTCAGAATGGCAAGGCAACTTCGTTGGCGAGTTCAGAGTGCCAATAACACGACGAGTCAGTAATGGATGGACGGCAGAAATGCACTTTTCTTCAGCTGTTAATAGTCTAACTGTAAGTGATAAATAATATCATTTGTTATCCTTCGTAGGCTTTAAGTAAAAAATATTGGAATGATGGCTCACACTTCTTGTTAATAAATGGCGCTATGATCTAAGGGTATTCCAAATATACAAACGTAGATGCTACTAAATCTAGTTGCGATTCTTGCAACCCAAGCTCTCTAATACAATGAATCTGTTAATTAATATTTCATAACTTTTTTCTATTTAGATGCACGACGCAGACGTCATTGGACCGTTGAATGGCAATACCGTGTATCAGATTCGTAATAGGCAACATAATGCAGATTATTCTCCTGGAGATGAAAATACCCAAAGCTTTCAAGCAACAATTTCAGGAAATACGCCAACATTTTACGTGTATATGGTTGGACAGCCGCAGTGCTGTGGTGGAGGCTGTGAAACAACCGAAGTAGATCCGACTGATCCACCACAAGTAGATCCCACCGAAGCTCCAGTAGATCCCGCGGAAACGCACGTATATCCCACAGAAACTCCAGAAGATTCTACGAAAGCTAAAGTAGATCCAACAGAGGCTCAAGTAGATCCGACTGAAGCTCAAATGCTAACCACAGAAGCACAAGTTGGCACCACAGAGGCTGAAGTAGAACCAACTGAAGCTGAAGTGCTTACTTCAGAAGCTCAAGTAGGCACCACAGATTCTCAGGTAGATGCGACTGAATCTCAAGTGCTTACCACAGACGCACAAGTTGCCACCACAGAGGCTCAAGCAGATCCGACTGAAGCTCAAGTGCTTACCACAGAAGCTCAAGTAGGCACCACAGAGACTCAAGTAGATCCGACTGAAGCTATATTGCTTACTACAGAATCACAAGTTGGCACCACAGAGGCTCAAGTAGATCCGACTGAAGCTAAAGTGCTTACTTCAGAAGCTCAAGTAGGCACCACAGAACCACAAGTAGGCACCACAGAGGCTGAGGTAGAACCAACTGAAGCTGAAGTGCTTACTTCAGAAGCTCAAGTAGGCACCACAGATTCTCAGGTAGATGCGACTGAAGCTCAAGTGCTTACCACAGACGCACAAGTTGCTACCACCGAGGCTCAAGCAGATCCGACTGAAGCTCAAGTGCTTACCACAGAAGCTCAAGTAGGCACCACAAAGACTCAAGTAGATCCGACTGAAGCTACATTGCTTACCACAGAATCACAAGTTGGCACCACAGAGGCTCAAGTAGATCCGACTGAAGCTAAAGTGCTTACTTCAGAAGCTCAAGTAGGCACCACAGAGGCTCAAGTAGATACGACTGAAGCTAAAGTGCTTACCACAGTTGCTCAAATAGATACCACAGAGGCTCAAGTAGATCCTACTGACGGTCAGGTAGAGCTAACTGAAGCTAAAATGCTTACTACAGTTGCTCAAGTAGATACCACAGTAGATCTCACCGAAGCCCCTGTGAACCCTACAGAGGCTGGAGAGGGAACGGTAACTGTTTGCTCAACTTGTATGGCAGACGTCATCATAACCAATAGATGGAGCGGAAATTTCCAGGCGACTATTACGGTGACACTTACAAATACAGTGACTGCATGGAATATGAATATTTATTTCTCGGAACCAGTGGATAGCATAGACGTAAGTTGTTATAATGATGTTGTGCTACCGTATTGTTTTGTAGTATTTTTTTAGAAATAAGACAGTTTAAAAACCACTGAGCAATTTACAGATTAAGAATGGAACAAGATTTAACATTACAGACAGGCTTTTTAATATTTAAAAAATAAGTTGGACTCAGGCTTCAACTTTCACAATTCTTGCCTCTTATAGGTATACCAAGCAATCGAATCATCGATTTCAAACGACAATATGGTTTACAGTATAAGTAACGAAAATTATAACGGTGGTCAATCTGCTGGAGCCATGTTAACATTGGAATTCCAAGCATCATATTCTGGGTCAGAGCCTTCAACAATACGAATCGAAGATATGACGAACCAGCCGGATTGCTGCACAGAGGTCGTAGTGACTCTACCGATACCAACGGCTGCACCAGGAGAAGGTTGTGCAACTTGTTGTTCAACAACTGCAGTGACGTCAGAATGGCAAGGCAACTTCGTTGGAGAGTTCAGAGTGCCAATAACACGACGAGTCAGTAACGGATGGACGGCAGAAATTTACTTTTCTTCAGCTGTTAATAGTCTAACGGCAAGTGATAAATAATCCCTCATTTGTGTATCCTTTCGTAGGCTAGCAAGCAAAACAATATTAGAATGATGGCCGCCCCTCCCCCCTGGGGTGGATGCAGGATTTGGCAGTAGGGGGTGCGTGCAAACATTTAAGGAAATAGTACCTTTAGAGGCCGGAAATGACACTTTTATATAGTAAAATTCATCATAATATCACCATTATATAGTCAAAAGTATCAGCAGTTTTCGGCAACCACAGAGATCTAATTAGTATGTGTAATGTACACATAAAACTTAAAAACATTCTCTTTGATGTAAGTACTTTACCTACTTCAAACCCGTGAGGCCACAACCACCTCAGCCCCACCACCATGGCTGGGGCCGAGGTGAGAAAGTTTGAGAAAATAGTACCTTGACGGCCGGAAATGACACTTTTATACAGAAAAATTCACCATTATCACACTATCATTATTTAGTCTAGATGAAGCGCCAGTAAATTTCTCATATCTTTACTCAGGGATTTTCGGCAGCAACAGAGATCTAATTAATACAAGTGATGTACCATAAAAAGTGAAAGTAAAGAAGCATTTTCTTTGATGTATTTAATATACTCGACTCGATATTCTCGTGATCTTTTATCAGTTATTTTCGGCAACCATAGAGATCTAATAAGTATGTGTGATGGACGTTACCATAGATAGTAAAACTTAAAATCATTGTCTTTGATGTATTTACTTTACAGTACTTACTTCAAAACTGTGAGCCCACACGTCCTCAGCTCCACCACAGTTGGGGCTGAGGTGGTAAAATTTGGGGAAATGGTACCTCTAGATTGGCGAAAATTACACTCTTATATAGTAAAATTCATCATCATCGATCTAATTAATCGCTGTGATGTACCATAGAAAATACTACTTCATGTGCAGAAACCCAATCTTATCTTTTTACGCTTTTTCTTATATTTCTCAAATTATAATAAAGGCACGCGCACCCGAGTAGGGTATTATAGGTAATTCAGATTTTTGTGGGCAGAGATACAGGTATCTTGCTTTAAGATAAGATGTACTCTGGCTGCACCTTTTCGTTAAAATCTGGGTCATTTATGCATTTATGTCAACAATTTTCAGGCATATCTTCTTTACTCACCCTTTCCCCTTAAAAAAATATGTGAGGGGATGTTTACAGGGGTGGTGCCAGCGGGGTGGGGGAGACCTCTCTTGTTAATAAGTGGCGCAATGATCTAAAGTATTCCAAATATACAAACGTAGCTGCTACTAAATCTAGTCGAGGGACTTGCAACCCAAGCTCTCTACTAATTTACTTTTTTTTCAATAACTATTTAGATGTATGACACAGACGTCATTGGAACGTTGAATGGAAATACCGTGTATCAGATTCGTAATAGGCAACATAATGCAGATTATTCTCCCGGAGATGAAAATTTCCAAGGTTTTCAAGCAACAATTTCAGGAAATACGCCAACATTTTACGTGTATATGGTTGGACAGCCACAGTGCTGTGGCGGCGGCTGTGACCCATCTGAAGTAGATACAACGGATCCACCACAGCAGCCGATGACTTACGCACCACAACCACAGGTAACTGACACACCACAACCACAGGTAACTGACGCACCGCAACCACAGTTAACTGACGCACCACAACCACAGGTTTCTGACTCACCTCAGCCACAGATAACTGATGCACCACAACCAGAGGTTACTGATACTCAGCAACCACAAGTGACAGATGCATCACACCCACAGTCTATAGATTCAGAAGCAACCGACGGTCCAATACCAACATTACCTGCAAATGGTGAATAATTTTGAAATATATCGAGCTGAGCAGTTGGACGAGAGGGAATCTTCCTGCTGCTTATGCTGTACATTCCGGTTCAGACCCGGCCAGCGTTGAGTTTTAATCGGAGTATAATCGCTAATCGATTACCCTCATATTGAGAGTTAGGTGGGCTAAGGAGAGAGACGTATATAGGGGTGTGCGGCCTCCCCACCCCAAGTCGCCCCAAAAAAAATCACGCTCAAGTAGTTAAAAATCAAATAAAATCACCTTATTTTGAGAGCTGCTTCCTCATCACCTAATCTTCGAGCCCTCACTTCACTTTCATTCCCCCAGCAATTTTTAATTTAATTAAATTAAATTTCTTAAAAGACCCCTGGAAACGCCACAGTTCTATTCGTATGATGTATCCGTTACATGTGTAGCGTCGCTGCATAATTTCCATTTTGAATGAGGACAGATAAAAATTGTTTATTATCATTATCACCATCGGCGCCGTCGTCGGCGTCCACCAACGACACAGTGTGTGCCCGGCTTTGGATTCAATAACGCAAATTCGAGCAACTTACCACATCTAATAACTGTTATGATAAAGGATAAATTATTACACTAGAAGACATTACAAAATCACAACCCAAACGGTGTCAAAATTATCATAAATACATTTAATATGATACGTACGTTTAACGATGGCCCAACATATTATGAGCAATCACAAGCACAATATCATTATAGTCGTAAGTGCATATCAACTTTCAATTCCATACAACTCTAACTGTAAACATTGCATACAGTACAACCATCATAACTCTTTGAGCACAATCTCATCTAGTGTCAACTCTATAACACAACCCTAAATATAAACATTACATTGGAAACCATAGGTACAATCATCATATCCATAATCATATTTATCAGCATGTGTGTCACATCCCTATGCGGCTAGCTATGAGTACCAACGTAGGCAATATCTCCCACTCCTATAGGTTCTAAGTTGCGGGAATTGCGTGAACCCAATTCCCGTAAGCATGCCACACACGTCCTCGGAGAGAGCGAGTCGCCGTCGAACCAATTGCATCAAACAATTTTTAATCAGTTTCCAATCCCCACCTCGAGAGCTACGAGATCTAGAAAAAAAACAAAACGAACCCACGAATATAACCAGAAACATCACAATTACTTTCCAATGAAGCACATTCAGATACAATAGGAATAACTTACATGTAGCAACTTTATACTGCACTTTCCGTCACAGGCTAAAGCCAGGTACATTAAGTTCCCCCCGTCTTTGGCGTATAAAATAATAATAATAATAATAATAATAATAATAATAATAATAATAATAATAATAATAATAATAATATAAAAATAATAATAATAATAAATTAATTGTGTAACAATAATCCATCATATTAACAAAACCGATGATAACAATGACCATAAGTGTAAGAAACCAGACATTCCCAACAATAACATTGCGTGAGTTGGCCAATGCTTCTAAATTTGCACTTGTGCATCAAATGGGCAAGCGGTAAGCAGGCGCGTCGCAACTTACAGTCATAATATCGGCGCTTGTTCGAATGGCAAGCTCTGCCTATTGTTTTGGAGATGGAACAAGTCTTCTTGGATAAGGACTTTAAACCGTGTGCCCAGTGTACACAATTGGCTCATGTGCACTTTAAAGAACCCAGTACATCTTTCAACAGGAGTAGACGTTACCCCAGTGTACTGGTTCATATAGCCCCTGTTGTCTTGTGAACTGATTGCCACTTTGAAAACTATTTAAGTTCACTGTTTGGCATATCCTTGACCATATTGCCCAAAGCTGAATAAATAGTAAGTAATTAAACAAAATCATCAATAACACCACGTCTTGCGACACCACCACGCTTGGGCGAAAAAATGGAATGACCGCCACGCTTAGGAAAAATAAGCAAAGGTTGTACCACGCATAAAATGTTTGCGCCACGTTCAAAAAATATGTATTAAGTTTATTTTTTTCAAAAAGTTACAACAATAAATACCAAAGTGTCGAACTGCAATGTTTTCATGGGGACAGTGGCGTATCTACCCCCCGCCCCCAAATCAAGATTGTTCATCAGGTACTGTCTCTTATACACATCTCCACTGCTATGGGGAACAGGAATGGGGAACAGTACTTGTTCAATCGCATCATCATGAGGCACCGCCTTCAATGCAAGCTCAACTGCAGGATCCCTTTGTACTTCACCTGTCCGTGCAAGTAGGCACCTGTGAACTCAGGGAAGGCACCGTTCAATACCGTACATGCGTGGCGATTGCAATATTCAGTGAAGTGTCCGTTTTTTATGAACGGTGATTGATAAAACAACATTTATTAATTGAATTTACATGAATTTCTTAAGAAACAATTTTTTTTGTACTTATATTTCGGGGACTTACCGTACATACGTGATGGGCTGCAGTCGGAATACAACAGTATTTTAATTGGTTCCTATTATGTTTTTAAAATCTATATTTACACAACTAATAATCACCACTTCAAAGTATTATAATTATTATTTAACAGAACAGCAAACATACACTCGACCATGATTACAATATTATAAGCTCAATTTTATAGCTCCGGACTACACTCCACTCGACCTACTGGAGATTGAACCAAAATGGAAGGCTCTTTTCCCGGAAAGGGGGGGGGGGTCGCGAGGGTGTTCAAATCTTTATTCACTTTCAACACGTAGTGTACACATCTCTTTGTATTTATAACAGATTCCATCTTGATCTTGATCTAGTTTTGATGAATTTTTCCTAATTGTTTCATAATTTAAGTGTGCATATATGGTTTGAATTAATAAATTTAATTAAATGTATCAGGTAAATTAAATTTAAATTGTGGGACACAGGTTAAGCCGCCTCGTGTCCGACGCCATAAGTAGTACCAAAAATGTATCCACCCTTTAAAATTTTGTGCACGACCCTTTACCGTACATTTTTTGGACATTTTCTGAAATTCCGCCACTCTTTAAAAAAATCCTGGCGAGAGGGCTGATAATATTCTGTGACATTTGCTTCTGCATGTATGATGCGCGTACAAAATATTAATATGGTTTTTGCGGTTCATCTCAATAGCAGAACGGAGAGCAATGTAATATTTTGACGAGTCGAGAGGCCGAGTGATAAGACACAGGCGCTACTAACTACATCATCAGCCCTGATTCGAGCCACTCCTCGCCCTGTGGTGTCAGAACAGAGAGTATCAATGCGATATTGAAATCGTGTTATAAATTCAAAATACGGTATGCAATGCTAATAGCTCTTTTGTTATTTTGTACAGCCCCTTACAATTATTCGGATGTACTTTATAAATCCATATTGTTTTATGAGGCGCAGAGGTCTGGTGACTTACCAGAGAACAACAGGATACCTTACAGGGGCGACAGTGCCCTTGATGACGCGGGTGACAACGGTGAGGACTTAACAGGCGGTTGGTACGATGGTAAGCGTTATGGAGTCTTAGGGTAGTAGTGGTGGTGACGGTAGTTGTATTTTATCAATATTTTCTCTTGGTTTCCAGGGCTAGAACCATGGAGTGGAGTAGAATCGCTTGGTGGTTAAAATTCTCGCCTTCAAATTCTGTCAGATTTTAAGATTCGTCATGAGAATTAGTTTATGTAGAGCATGTGTTTCTTTATCATGTACCACCTATCTAATAGTCCAGTGATTAAGTCGTTTTTAGCCATGTGCCTAAAGGAATTTTTTTTTAAACAATGTGACCATCCAATGGCTGCCAAGTAGTTGTATTTCATCCATATTTTCTCTTTGTTTTCGTAGCTGGAGACTATGTGAAATTTGGCCATCCAATGGCTGGTGCCGCCACAGTGTTGGCATGGGGGCTGATTGAATACAAATCAGGATACGAGGCAGCAGGAGAACTGCAGAATATGTATGACAGCATCAAATGGGCAACCGACTACTTTCTCAAATGCCACACGGGGACTAATGAATTCTACGGACAGGTGAGTTGTTCTGGGAGCGCAACGCGACTAGGTGCGCGCAATGAATCATTTTTTTAAGACTATCCACTCGACTAACATTGATAATCAGCAGATGATGTCACGTCGACAAGCACTCGCCACAGATAACGGAGATGTATTCTGAATAGTAGTCGACGCTGGCCAGATGAAGGCAAGTATCAATTTGAAAAACGATCCCATAATGTTTTATTTAGTTCGGTGGTTTTGTAATATAGACTAGTGGAGTCTTCTTTAATAGTAAAAAATTATTTCAGGTCGGCGATGGGGACATCGACCATGCGTACTGGGGAAGACCGGAAGAGATGACCGTATATCGTCCAGCATTCAAGGTAACGGCGCAAAACCCTGGATCAGACGTAGTTGGTGAGACGGCAGCTGCATTGGCAGCTACATCAATAGCCTTCCGGGATGTTGGTATGTATCCTGCTTTGTTTCTAATTTATGATTTTCAATTATTTCGATTCATAGTGAAATAAAATATAATCCCGACAAGTAGACCTTAATAAATACATTTGACAATACATAACACCACCGTTAAAAATATAATTTAGATTTCAAGATTGTTCATCAGGTAATTAGGTCCGAGTATTCTGAGAATTTTGTGATGATCAATTCTGTGTAGGATGGTGTAATAAGACTCGCTGTCAAATAGGTGTAGGCCTAAATTATCATTATTACCGTTTTATCATCGTTGATATAATTTTCATCATTATTATTACAGTTGTTGTCGTTTCCTCTGTTTAGATTCTACGTACGCAGCGACGCTGCTATCTACGGCTAGAGAGCTCTACACATTTGCAAAAACCTACACGGGCAAATACTCCGATGCGATTTCAGATGCCGCCCAGTTTTACAGGTGCGTCGACAAAGTTAGGTCTTTCAATAAGGCCAAACATTTTTTTTTTAAATGACAATCCAATCTCCGTATTATTCTATCTACGGTCACATGCATCGCCATTGCTTTTAAAATTGTTCTTCCATTCCATCAATTAACCAAAAAGGACTCAATCTTTTATTGTATTGTCACGAAATTGTACATCAGCAATCGGAGAACGCTGACAAACTCTCAGACTAACATTGGTACGCAACCACTGTATCCGTTTTCCTTACCAATATCTTTAGTGGGACAGAAACTGTCAGATATCTTATTTAAAAATCTAGGAATGAGTCAGGAAAAATATTTGCCAGCCCATCCCATCACCTTTCTTGGAAATTGGTTGCGCAAAAGCTTAAACGCAAACAGGTTAAAGTCTCCTACATAGGTATCATTCCTCCAGCTAGCTTCTAATTTTGCCGTTGTGCCAATAATAATGGTGGTGATGTTGATAATAATGATGAGGATACAGTGCTTGCAGTATTGTAGAATTCACATAGCGCACATTTCATTGTTTTCAGTTCATCCGGTTACCATGATGAACTAGGCTGGGCGGCTGCGTGGTTGTACAGGGCTACATCAGAAAACCAGTATTTGACTGATGCTGAGAACTTCTACAATTCATACGGGTTAGGCGGCAAGCCATGGGCTTTTGATTGGGACGACAAAAAGGCTGGATTACAGGTGCAAAATGTGGTCCTAAAATTGATATAAATTAGACTTTCACTGCTTTATATTTTTTAGTAGGATACTTTTATGTCAGCAGATCTGAACCCATCCAATTCTTCAACACCACTACGTTATGACAACTTATTTCCTTGGGGTTTTCTTTTCTAGCTTCTGTTGTACAATTTGACTGGTGACAGTAAATATAGCGACGATGTTGAGAAGTTTATTGGTGGTTGGGTGTCCGGGGCAGATGTTGACTACACCCCGTTAGGTCTGGCCTGGAGAATCCAATGGAGCCCCAATAGATATTCAGGTACTCGTCGTTATATTTTATTTTCAACTAATTGAGAGTGACTCAGTTGACAGAATGGAATAAATGCGAAGCTCTATAACTTGTTTTAGTTAGCCGAATTTGATGTTTTTAGTTGAAGACGTGACCAACTTCCTGCTATTTGCAGGATTAGAATCCAAAGAATTTTTGGATTCAAGTGCAGTGTGCGTACTTTATTATCTCGAAAGGAAGCCCATGATATCTTTAAATGAAGCCCACCTAGATAGGCTTTTCTACGAATCTATATTATTGTATCCGCTATGCGACTTTTTATACAAATATATATTTTTTTATTTGATGTTTAGTGGAAGGCGAATTCTTCTGTTTGCAAGATTAGAATTCCGTTGACCCTTTACTACCAAGCTCCATTCCAATGATGGGTTTACATTAATAAAACAATATATTTTCGCAGTTTAAGTAGAAATAAACGTCAAAATTGATGCTATTATGATACGTTTGCTGCATCTACCGAAAGGTCCACTGATTAATCACTCCAAGTATCGAAATATGCGTCATCGTGTCGGGATTCAATATTTCGACATTAATTATGTCATCATCAGGAATGAAAAATTATCCATATTTGCAACCTTATATGCACAAGTACCAAAGGTGTTTGACCAATCAAAACATTACCCCTAGTAGGTGACAGTTATGAATAAATTAAAGACCAAAGCATTCTTACCCTACTGATCAAAGCTACCTACAAAAACAAAGAAAGCTCAGTCCTTTGAAGCTTTCAGCCCATTGTTAAGTAATGGGTGTAGCCTACGTATAGCAAACGCTTCTTTAAATATAGACCAATTTTGCGAACTGTCAATAATGTTAGTATTAGAATATATTAAACCTAATTTATTACTTACATTACAGGCTACATTATCATTTTCAAGAATACCTTGTAAACCTAAAACATATTGGAATGCCTCACAATTTTTATATGATCATTTATAACACTATCAGATCGTGAAGAATGTTCTTGAAGTCTAGTTATTAAGCATCTGTCTGTCTTACCAAACCACTATTACAATCTGAACATTTAAAATGATAAACAACAGAGCTCCTATATTCCTTAGGGGTTTGACCTTTAGTAGATATAAAATGAGAAACATTCTTGTATCGCCATAATGTTATGAATTTTACCTCTTTAACTAAGTGTTTCTTTACTTGGTTTAAGCATCTACGTAAAATGGATTCACCTGCCTTTCCTAGATAAGGCAATCTAACCCAGATCTTAATCAAGCTATCATCAGTAGGCCTATGTATACATTTAGGTTCATTTAATTTATTGAGTATATGGTTAACAACTTTAAAGGGTACGCATTCCATGACATAAATTTTCTAATGTTACGAAGTTCTGCTTGAAGTTTATCGGGAGTACACAGTTTGTGGGCTCTTGAAACTAAACTACGAATCCACGAAATCTTATGGTTCCATGGGGCAAAGCTATCATAATGGATTTATTGACCTGTATGTGTATTTTTACGATATATACTCCAGAAAATTGTACTATATCACTATTTTCAAATGATTCAAAGGCAAAATTAATCTGTTTATGAAAAGCGTTAAAGTGACGTAGGATGTGATGAAAATCATTAGGTTTAGCTAGCACTAGTGTGTCATTTTCATCACATCCTACGTTACATTAACACTTTTGATCAGTAGGGTAAGAATGCTTTGACCTTTAGTTTATTCATAACTATGTCACCTACTAGGGGTAATGTTTTGATTGGTCAAACACTTTTGGTACTTGTGCATATAAGCTTGCAAATATGGACAATTTTTCATTCCTGATGACTCATGACATAATTATAATGTCGAAATATTGAATCCCGACACGATGGCGTACATTTCGATACTTGGAGTATGTATACTATTTTTGCTGCATCTTTTATTTCCATATTTTTTATATGTACGAAGATCTTTTTTGTGGTTTTTTTTTTTAGCCAATGTTGCATTTCTTGCTTTGGTCGCTGCTGATCTCGGCATACAGGAAACAAATTTCCGTACGTTTGCAAAGGGTCAAATCAACTACATGCTTGGTGATAGTGGGCGTAGTTACGTTGTTGGATTTGGGAATAATCCACCCGATAGACCGCACCATGGATCAAGGTATATGAAGTATTAACTTAAGAGTGTAGGCCTAATTAATTACCAATACAATTCAATATCAAAACGCAGTTGAAATATAAATGTGATAGTAGGGATAGCGTGCCATGACTAGAAAGGCGAGTTCTCAACTCATAGAGGAAAAGCAAAGCTTAGTGTCTGTTTTAAGGCCTGATTACTCTATGACGATAACGATCAACGAAACAAAGCTAAAAAGCAATTGCTCATATAGAAAATAAGAGAAGTTTTCACACTAGCACGATTCGATAACGATTCATCCGATAAATCGTGTATATATACGATAATATCTTGTATACGATAAAAATATATTTTCACAAATCAAACCAAATGACGTCATAATCATGGGAAAACGAAAAATCGTATTAGTAAAAACCATTTTATCGTTTTCTTAAGATTTTTACGTCATTTGATTTGATTTTTGATATTATTTTTGTATAGCATACACGATAAATCGTTATCAAATCGTGGTAGTTTGAAACTTTTTTTATTTTCTATAGAACAATTGCGTTTTATCGTTGATCGTTATCGTCAAAGTGCAAACAGGCCTTTAGGGGTTTTAACTTTTCCCGTATTTGGTGTTTTTATTATATGATCAATATAATTATATTTACCTGATCACCAAGATGAACTACCACCTGTGGTTAATCGGTTATGATCGTGCACTTGTATAACGCATTTAAAATTCGTCTCTATGCGCTTTCCTGGGCATCAGAAAAGAAAAACCAAATTAATGGTTGAAACGAATAAGAAAGTGGTAGAAAAGAAAAGCAATGCAAATAAAGGAAAGTGAAAAGAAAACAAACAAGAGAGTGGATATAAAGATATTCGGAATTGAATCCACTTACCGACTTTGTGTGATCTAGACTAAAATCAAATGAAGATCTATTCTGACTTGTTTTGCGAATAACAATAATGTTCTAAATATACTGCACCTAAGATTATTATTCGTATGCGCGAGCTAACACATTAATAAGATTTTTTAAGACATGCAGTTTTTAAAGATATTATGTACAACGCAATAAACAGGTATGTCTTGGTACCAATGTCATATGATGAACAAATGCATTATTGTTTGCAGCCAAATCTTAGCTATAAAAGTAATAAGCCAATCAATTTAGAAGCTTTATCGAGATAATTTGATGTTGTAACCTGCTGTACTTGTTTAATTTACGATTTCTACAAGATGCAAATATATTAATTATTCTTAGTATGATATATTATGGTTTACCAAATCCAAGAGGAATACCGTAAAACCTCGAATTGAAGCCCAGTGGGCCTAATCTCGAGATGAAGCCCATCTCGAATTGAAGCCCCCTCTTTAGTTTGCAAAATTAGCCTTCAAAAGAAGCCCATCTCGAAAAGAAGACTATGGGCTTCTTTTCAAGATAGCATAGGCTTCTTTTTGGTGTAGTACAGTACAAACACTGTACATGAATTTCAGAAAACAAAATAAATTTAAAACAAGCTTGGTTTATACAGTAGTTTAGGTGATTTAATGCCATTTAAATATACTTAATGATACACATTGATGTTACATTGGCCTTATTTATTGTTTTATAGTACAAATTCACAAAATTTACAGCATTCATTTTGAAAAGAAGCTCACCTC